CTCTGATCTCCATTTAACCCCAAGTGGAGCTGTGGTTCAAATGACAGAGCGTCGAGCCTTCCATGAAAGAGCTCAGGGACAGCACCCAGGTCCTGAGTGGGAGCCCCGACACTGGAACACACACACACACACACCCCTCTGTGATTACACACTCCAGAGTCATCTCTTCATCTCAAGACCCCTAATTCAATCCTCCCAGCCTCTCCAAGGACTCCAGAGGGACACCGAACCCCAACTCCGTGCTCTGTCCCTGCAAGAAGGAGGCAATGAATGAATGAATGAAAACAGAAAAGAAATAGAATCAAAGGCCAGACCCTGGCTCACCCAAAGCAGGAAGTCTGAGTGGGTGCAACGCCCTTAACAACCTAAAACCACCGCAGCGGGGCCTGGCGGGGGCCTGGCGGGGGCCTGGAGAGGCCTGGCGGGGCCTGGTGGGGCCTGGCGGGGGCCTGGCGGGGCCTGGTGGGCCTGGCAGGCCCCCCTAAGCCCGGCTGCTCAGGAGGCTGGGATTCGCAGGACCAGGGTGTGAGGCCAGCCTGAATCCAAATCCCAGCAAGAAGTCAGCCTGGAGGCGTGGATCCGGGGCAGGGCGCCCGCCAGCCAGCTCCAGGCTTCAACAAGAACCTGCACAGCAGGGCTGGGCCTGGGCCATGTGTGCATAGAGGCCCTGGGCCTTGAACTCAGGGCCTGGGCGCCGTCCCTCAGCTCTTCAGCTCTACCACTTGAGCCACAGCGCCCCTTCTGGTTTTCTGGTGGTTTATGGGAGATCAGAGTCTCACGGACTTTCCCGCCCGGGCTGGCTTCGAACCAGGATCCTCAGATCTCAGCCTCCTGTATGGCTGGGCTGAGTCAGAGCTGCGGGTTGGACTACATCGCCCGGCATGCCTTGCGAGGGGGGGGCGTGGTGTGGGTGGAGCAATGTAGCATGGACTACATTTCCCGGCGTGCCTAGGAAGACGTTTGGAGCGTGACAGGCGCCTCGAGCCGCGTTCGCCTTCCGAGCGGCGGCTTGGACTGTATTTCCCGGCGTGCCTTGCCACGGGGGCGTGGCATAAGCTTAACCGTTTCCTGGAGCGGCGGGGTTTGGACCACCTTTCCCGGCATGCCTTGCCAGAAAGGGGCGTGGCGTGGGCGTGGCCGTCTCCGGGAGCGGCGGCCACTTTCCGACGGGCGGTGGCGTGGACTACATTTCCCGGCATGCCGTGCCAGAAGGGGCGTGTGCGTACGCAGGTGTGCGTACGCAGGCGTGACCGGCTCCCGGGGCGGCGGTCGGCTCCCTGAGCGTCGGCGGCGTGGACTACACTTCCGGGCGACCGTTGCTAGGAGAGGTGTGATGTAGGGCGTCGGTGTCCTTCCGGAGTGGCGGTGGTGTGGACTACACTTCCCGGCGTGCCTTGCCCGAAGGGACTGGCCGAGGTGGCACCTGGACTACATTTCCCGGCGTCCCTTGTGTGTCTGCGTCCTGCAGCCGCGGCCGCTTCCGGATTGGCGGTGGTGTGAACTACATCTCCCGGCGTGCCCCGCGGG